CCCTGAGATGACCGAACATGACAAGATCAGGCATATCTTAAAAGGCATAGACGATGATGCCTATCAAATGTTGCTGGCAAAGGGCCCAAGTACCGTATCCGAACTTGTGACCTTGTGCCAGAGCTTGGAAGAGATTTGGAAACAACGTGCAGCAGTTCGGAGGTCGACGACAGCAGACGACTCTCTCGCTGCCCTGGCCGTCGGTGGTGACAGCTCCCTGCTGGAGCAGGTAAAAGAATATGTACGCGAAGAGGTCGCACGACAGCTTTCGTGTCTCTCGTATCTACCGACCACCGAAGCACCAACGAACCGCCTAATGCCGACAATCAGACAGGCTATTCAGGAGCAGGTCTCCGAGGCGTTGCCATTACCTACGCCTGCCTCTCCACCAACGCCTGCCTCTCCACCAACGCCTGCCTCTCCACCAACGCCTGTTGCCGCGCCACTGACTTATGCGGCTGTCGCGGCAATGCCTTCATCTCGTCTACCAATGTATATGCCACAACCTGTGCGACCGTCCACCCCGCCGTTTTCAGCTACACAGCAGCACGCTGGAAATCCTTGGCGCACTGCTGACAACCGGCTCATATGTTACTTTTGCGGAATTCCAGGTCACGTTGCACGTCTATGTCATCGGCGCTTCACAGTTAACACACCAAGATATCCTGACTATTCGTTTTGGCCTCCATACCACGCGCCTCACGTACCACCTGAAGTTCACGAACGCGATGCGCAAACTGCTTCCGGTGCCCGAACATTCGCTTCTAGACGTTCTACTTCCCGCTCGCCTTCACCTTCAACAAGTCGTCGTTCTGTATCGCCTATGCGTCGACAACGTACCCACATTGAGACAGAAAACTAACCGCCGCAGCTCCGGAGGCACGAGCTGCGTCATCGTCTAATTGTTTAGGTCCTCGCCTGTCTCCCGCCAATCTTATCGATGTAATCGTCGAAGGTGTACGAACACTCGCACTCATCGATACCGGTGCCGCGATATCTGTGATTTGCCAAAGACTCTGCCGCTCTCTTCGAAAAGTGACGATGCTTTCTACCGTGGTTTTTCTTAGTACTGCGAGCACCCAACAAATTGAGCCCGTCGCGGCATGTACAGCAAAAGTGGTTATTCGAGACGTGTTGTACACCATTGAATTTCACATGTTGGCTTCATGTTCCCACGATGTCATCCTAAGATGGGATTTTTTATCGCGTCATCACGCCGTCGTGGACTGCGCTCGGGCCGAAGTGAAGCTGTTACCGTTTCGTGATGCGCCTTCTGTTGATGCGGCCGTATCTAGTGTGGCTAACCTTGTCGTCGCGACCGACATAGACCATCCTCCTTTTAGCGCCCAGTTTGTCCCTGCCTGGTGTACTTCACTTTCTGACGCTACCATCCTATTCATGCCATCTGACATCTTGGTAGCCGCCACCACACATCGCCGCCATTCGCCGTTCTTGAGCTTTGTCAAGACACTACCGGGATATTTCCAATCCCAACTCGTGCCCCCTCAGGTTGCGCCGCAACGAAACGCTCGGCCACATTCAGCTTATCGATGAAGGTACTATCGTTCCTGTTGATTTTTTCGACACCAAGTCGAATGTGGAGCTGAACGCGTTGGTTCCTCGCTTTGACTCGAACAGCGCGTCTACCGATGCATTTCACCGTTCTACTGACAGCGATCTCGTCCCGGCTCAACGAGAGCCGCTTGTTACCCTGCTGCACGAATTCAAGCGTTCGTTTGACTTTCCCCAAGCGGTGCTAGGAAGAACGAACACCGTTGTGCACGCAATTGACACAGGAAAGAGTACTCCTTTGCGCCAGCGCCCTTATCGTGTGTCACCAGCGGAGCGTCGGGTAATTGCAGAACAAGTAGACGACATGCTACAGCGTGGAGTCATCAAGCCTTCTTGTAGTCCTAGGTCTTCCCCAGTTGTACTCGTCAAAAAAAAGGATGGTTCGATCCGGTTCTGCGTAGACTACAGGCGCCTAAACAACATTACGAGGAAAGATGTTTACCCTCTTCCCCGCATAGACGACGCTCTCGATTGTCTCCAAGGTGCAGAATTCTTTTCCTCGCTTGACCTTCGCTCGGGTTATTGGCAGGTCCCAATGGCTGAGTCTGATCGTCCAAAAACAGCGTTTGTCACACCAAATGGCCTCAATGAATTTAGCGTAATGCCATTCGGACTCTACAATGCGCCTGCCACATTCGAGCGAATGATGGACAGCATTTTACGCGGTCTCAAATGGAACATTTGCTTGTGCTATTTTGATGACGTTGTGGTTTTTTCACCCGATTTCACTTCGCATCTCACTCGTCTGCGTAAGATTCTACAGTGCCTTACAAACGCCAGGCTTCAGCTTAACCTGAAGAAGTGTCACTTCGGGACTAAACAACTCGCCATACTTGGTCATGTCGTCTCGAAAGCCGGCATCCTTCCCAACCCTGACAAGCTTCGTGCTGTTGCCGAATTTCCTAAGCCAACTACTGTTAAAGAACTACGGAGCTTTTTGGGCCTGTGCTCCTATTTTCGTCGGTTTGTCTGGAACTTTGCCTCTGTCATCGCTCCACTCACCAAACTCCTTTCTGGCCCTGCAGATCTTCCGAATTGGACAGCAGCCTGTGACGAATCCTTCGCAACATTGCGCCAACTCCTTACCTCATCACCTGTACTGCGCCATTACGACCCTATTGCGCCAACCGAAGTACACACGGATGTAAGTGGCGTCGGCCTTGGTGCAGTACTCGCGCAACGCAAGCCAGGTTTTACAAAGTATGTGGTCACCTATGCCAGCCGCCCCCTCACTAAGGCAGAAGCCAACTATTCTGTTACGGAAAAAGAGTGCCTCACGATTGTGTGGGCGTTAGACAAGTTTTGCCCCTATTTGTACGGCCAAACTTTTGATGTGGTAACTGACCATCACGCACTCTGTTGGTTGGCTTCACTGAAAGATCCTTCCGGCCGCCTCCGACGTTGGGCACTACGCCTCCAGGAATTAGACATACGCGTCGTCTACCGATCGGGGCGAAAGCACTCTGACGCAGATGCGCTTTCACGATCACCTGTGAAATCTGATGATGCGGATATATCAGCCCTGGACCTTCCCCTCTCTGCCGTCAGCGTCACAGACATGCCATCCGAACAGCGGAAGGACTCTTGGATTGCCTCGCTGTTTAATATGCTTTCTGATGCATCAACTTCCCGTTACCCCATGCTCTTCGCCGCCAAGCAACGCATTTCGCCATACGGGATGGCCTGTTATACCGTCGCAACTATAAAGTGGCGGGTCGTAAATGGCTGCTAGTCATACCCAGCCATATGCGGTCTGATATCTGCAAATATTTTAATGCTTAATCGCAACACGCACACGCCGGTGCGCTAAAGACATATGAGCGGATCCGCCAACATTACTACTAATGGGGTATGTACGCGTTTGTACGCAAACACATTCGCTCATGTTCCCAGTGTCAGCAGCGCAAGACATTCCCTCATTCACCCGGTCAACTGCAGCCTTTGCCATGTCCTGCACGCCCATTTGACCGTGTTGGGATTGACCTATACCACGGCCCACCACGGCCACGTATTGACCTATACCCCGGCCCACCATTGACCTATACCACGGTATTGATGCATGGTTTGCCTATTGATGCATTGTTTGCCATTGACCTATACCACGCATTGACTTATACCACGGTATGGTATTGACCTATACCGCGGCCCACCATTGACCACGGCCCGCTACCATGCTCTGTTGGTGGTAATCGATGGGTGATTGTGGCTGCCGACCATCTGACAAGGTACGCTGAAACGGCAGCGCTACCTTCGGCTGGCGCTCGTGACGTTGCAACCTTCATCTTGCACCGGTTTGTTCTTCGTCATGGTGCACCACGGGAGCTCCTGAGTGACAGAGAATGCGTATTTTTGTCCGAAGTTCTGCAGCAGCTCCTACATTCATGCCGTACGGAACATCGCACATCAACAGCCTACCACCCTCAGACGAACGGCCTAATGGAACGTTTCAACAGAACCCCCGGAGACATGCTCACTATGTATATTGATTCAGACCACTCCAACTGGGACGTTGTTTTTCCTTTCGTGACGTATGCCTACAATACAGCGATTCAATCAACAAGAGGCTTTTCTCCATTTTTTTCTTTTATATGGTCGTGACCCACGCAACACACTCGACACAATTTTGCCATACAATCCTAATGCCTCCGAGTTCAGCCCAGTTTCTGAAACGGCCGAACATGCCGAAGAGTGTCGTCAGCTTGCACGGTCCTTCACAGCCGATAACCAAGCCCTCCAAAAAGATCGCCACGACCATGATCTTGTTCAGAATACCTTCCCCGTTGGTTCTCTCGTGTGGCTCCGACTACCTTTCCACTCTCCTGGACTGACTCCCAAGTTTGCACCGAAGTATATGGGCCCTTACCGCGTCATACAGCACCCTTCTTCTGTCACCTATGTGATTGAACCGCTCAAGCCGTCCACGGACAAGCGCCGCCTTGGTCGTGAGACAGTCCACGTCAGTCGCCTCAAGCCCTGTTACGACCCTCCTGTTCTCTCGTCACCTTGAGTCGCCAGGATGGCTCGTCTTCATCGCCGGGGCATTGTAGTGGGGAATTCGCAAGGCAATGACTGGTGGGAGCATCGCTGAGTGCGAAGCGCGAGCAGGTGCATGAGCTGTAGACGCTGGACTGCCCTAGCATTTGGTTCCGTACCGGCTGTCTGCCTATTACCTGACGTCGCTATTAAACCCCCTTGCAGTGCGATCAACTTTTATTTGTACGGTACCCCCCATCTGTACTTACTCGCCAAATAAACATTTAAAATTTCGACAATGTGGCCACAGAAAACATAGGACCTGGTTGACCGGCGAAACGTAGGATAGGCCTTTACCCTACAGTGGGCTTAGTCATGCTCATGATGGGTGAGGCAAATGTCTTTGGCTTATAGCGTCTTTAAACTGGCCGCTCACTCATGGTTCTCATGTGCAGAATGGAGGTGAACCCGAGGACAGCCTGCTGTTTGACCCAAAGCTCCTGGAAAGCCTGGACACTGTTGAAGGCGTCAATGTGGAGCTGCCCGCAACAGAGCCTCCACTTAGGGTCCGACCTCTGAGCTCTGGAGACTACGATCGTGGTAAGTACAGTTAAGAATATACTGAACAGAATTTTCGCCTCTGAGAATTTCGGCCATATTGGAAGATTAGGTGGTGAAATCGGTAGACACAACCATCATCTAAGGCAGAGACCAGTATAAAAGAATGAATTTAATGTGTTTTTCACCAACTTCCCTGTGTATTGGCTACCCTGTGAACTGGACAAGGCGATGTTGAAAGGCACATTAAAGAGAGAAACAATTTCTTGTGTGTTAGTGAAATACAATTTCACAATCCCGAAAACACCACTCTTAACGTGATGTGACGCTTGGTAAGCGAGAAAACACGCGAAAAAAAAAATGCAGATGGAGATGCCACCTTGAGATTCCCGCACTGCCATGATGTCATAGATTTTTAGAACGTCTACGAGGTCCTAAATAGCGTTTAATCAATGAAATTAAGTACATTGTCATTTGTGGGTTCCTCATGGGTGCCTAAGACCTTGGATACGATGTTTCAGAAAATTTCATCGAGTGAATGTCACAAAAGTATGGAAAATATATTTTAAAATTTTTGACATCACATGCGGGGAGACTTCGGTGTGAAATTTCAAAATGAAACTTATACCTTGATTTTTATGTTGATAACGAACTTATGATAGTGAAGTACATGGCATTAGAGTTCTCAGAGTTCAATTTATTAATATAAACTAAGTCATTGTTGCTCTTTAGTGTCCCTTTTACATTTCTAATAACAGGTTTGCCAACAGTGCCAGACATCAGCCACATATCACAACTGCAGCTCACTCATTCATTCATTCATTTTATTCCTTTAAAGACCCTCAAAGGGTATTACGCAAGGGACATGTTAACATGCAATCGATTGTGTTGTCACAGTGGTCAATGTAAAGTTACATTTGAAACGCTATGGATGAAGCTTGATGGGCAAGTGATTGTGGGGACATTGTGGGAAAGGCCTTTCCAGTCTTTTGCTGCTCTGGGAAAAAAAAACAGACAATGTTTTAGTACAGGCACTTGGGCACGAAACTTGAAGCTCATGGTCAGTGCGGTGCGGTATTTAAGCTGCAGGGATAATGTAAGGACAGCAGTTAAGTGGCGAGTGAAAAAACTTGTGAAATAATGAGAGGGTTACAGTGTGTCGGGGACAAGACAAAGCTGATAAGTTACACTCGGCTTTGAGGGATAAAAGACTGATGTCGTATGAGTACGAAACACGAATGATTCTAGCGGCATGATTTTGAATGGTTTGAAGAGAATTTTTAGAACCAACTTCAGGCGGGTTTTAGATAGGATATGCATGTCCTAACTTTGACGTGACTAATGATGTATAAGCAAGTAGTTTTACATGAGTCTGAGCACTGCGTAAATGGCATTTGAAGAAGTCCAAAGTTCTGTTAGATGTTGATGCGATTTTAGTAATGTGGGTGCTCCACGACAAATTGTATGATAAGGTGACTTTAAGGTATTTATAAGTGGTTACTCATTTGACAGGGACGTTAGCTGTGTTTTGAAATAACTGAAGAGGGTTTAGACAACGAATGAATGGGATTAGTCTGCATTTAGTAGGGTTTAAGGTCATGAGCCAGTCATCACACCATTGCAGGATATGGGTGAGGTCTTCTTGTCATAACATTTGGTCAAAAGGGTTAGTGACGGTTCGATAAATGACACAGTCGTAAGCAAACATGCGGCAATTAGAATATATGTGCAAAGGTAGGTTGTTGATGTAAATGGAAAATAAAAAAGTACCAAAGACAGAGCTCTGTGGTACACCCGATTTCACCAGAAGAAGTTCATGCAAACTATAATCTGTAAACACTGATTGGGTGTGGTTAGCCGGGGATTCTTTTATTATTAATGTCAAATATAATAAACGACATGCAGGTTTCTTGGAGCTGCTCACCCAGTTGACAGTGGGTGGGGATGTGTCCAGAGAACAGTTTCTCGGTAAGTTCGCCAGCTGTCATATGCACTTCAGTTCAAGTACATATACATTGAAGCAGTACTACTACAACATGCCGCTGCCGGCTGCTTGCTTCACGGGCATTGAACAGTTTGAAATTCTTAAAATTTGAAAATTTTGAAATTTATTTTGTTACTTTAGCCTGATGTAAGCTGTCATGAATAACTTTTTGGTAGAGGTGGGCGAATAGTTGATTTGGTCGAATAATTTCGAATCGAATAGTGTACATTGCATATTATAAAGAAAAAGCATTTTCATCATGGCCCCACTAATTTACATTGTTTTTAAAGTTAGAACTCATGTAGGTGCAGCATTTTGTGAAATTGAAAAATGTTAACAGCTAAATTTTATTCACATACCATCTAACTTTTTTTTTCACTTCACTCACAAGTTTTCATGGAAAAATACCAGCTGCTCCACATAGTCTGGGAGCAGCAGCTCCCGCCGGCCACTGCAAAACATTCCCTGCTGCTGAAAACAGTCTCTCACTCCTTGCCTATGTATCAGAAATCGAGAGGTACTACTTTGAACTTTGGTTTGTGCCGGGTACAGTCGGCTGCCTTCCACTACTCTAGAGGTTTTTCTGACCGTAGAAACACACAAGCGCCCAAGTATTTTGCCACTTGAGAAGGGACACTATCACGGGTGTTGTCTTGCACTACATTTGAGGTTAATGAAGAAAAAAGGCGCCGATGAGTGTTAGCTGGAGGATTATTCGTGGCTGGGTAGACAGGTGCCCGGGTACAATGGTTTGGGGCTGGCATTTTTCGTTACAGCTGCAAGTGTGGCTTTTGCCTACTTCTCTTTTTTTACCGTCTTCAGTGTAGTAAATGTCTATGTAGCGAGGGTCAACTAGCATCACATTTTCCGGAAGATTTGCCATTTTAAAGCCAGGAACCTTGTGGCAAGAATGGGCAGAAGGCTCCTTACAAATCATGCTGCTTCCTCACCTTTTGACATGTATTCATGTAGCACCACTTGTGTACAATGCATGAGAGGTATCACTTGGGAAAGTGTGGGATAGCAGCCCGCGCAAAGCTCTGCCGTTGCTCGGTCCAGAGTGTGCAAAACGTTTACGGCCGCAGCCATTAATTTGCAATCTCTGGAGCTCAAGTTGTCCACATTTGAATCGCAAAGTTCAACTGAAATTGGGTCACGAAGTTGAGCGAGTCTTTCCATCATGGAGTACTTACTGTGCCAGCGTGCTCCAGTGTGTTCCAGCACTATTCCAGCGTGCATGTCCTTTCTTATATTCATGAGCCTGCACACGTGCACATGTGCTTCTGTTTTAGTGACCTACAATCGATCGACACTTCTTTTTCAGCGTCATTTATGCATGTGATGTTAACGTGGGTTCAGAATTCGCTCCAAAAAGAATAACGCAGCACGCAGGTGGACACACACGCGTAAGACATCTTTACAGACACGACAGGACTCAACGAATAGAGAAAAGCAGTTGAATTTGTCATGAGGGCTGTTACGCGAAATAGTCAAGCAGTAGCGTACAGTTTGTTGTCGGAGCCGATGAAGTTGCCGAGTTGAAAGCGTCGTGCGTAGACCATCTGTCCGATGCCGTAGCTCGGTGTTTGGTCTGGCTGCGTGAAGTCAAGAAGGTCCACTCTGTGGCCGTTTATGCCGGGACTCTGCGCCCAAGAGACCCGCTCCACGGTGGACGCCCTCGGCCTGTGCATGCTCGTGGGCCGAACCCTGAGTGTACTCGTCTGCCCATAGCGTCAAGACCTTGGCCCGGCCTCATGCGTGTTCTCTGGCCCAATATCCTCGTAGCAGAACAGGCGGGAGTGCTCTAAGTCGAGGCAGCAGGAGGTAAGGCTCCGGGTTCTCCCATGGACCGGACGCCCAGCGAAGGAGAGCCCAGCCTTGCGATTCCGACTGTCGTGCACGGCCCACGCTGTCTCGAGACACACCGCACACACGATGGCCGTCCTCTTCGCCACCGCACAGCCCATACGCGATTCGCCCCCGCACGGCCCACACATTCAGAAGGCCACACAAGTCGCCACCGCACGGCGTACTGTTTCGTTTTTGCACATTTCAACCTGCGCGCACCATATATTATGTCGATGCACAGCTGTGGGGTATGTGCAAGGTAGAAAAATCCTGACCAGTTTGATTTAGCCATGGCAGAAAGTTCCTGCCATTGTCGGTAGTGACAAAAGTTGGGATATGTGTTGGGCAGGCACCCCACTCTTCGATCATGTCTCAGAGAAACTCAAGTATGTTTTCTCCTCGTATGCTTCAGCGGCATGGGTTTGCGGGCGGAGGCGTATATTGACTGCATAAGGTCACGATTCATCATGTGGGCCGTAACGCACGCATAGCTGTTGCAGGCCCTCGATGTTTACCCATCCGTTGTTTGAGTGAAGCACTCAGCCCCACCGTCGTCAAATATTGTCCTAACGTGCTTCTTCAGCGCATTCTTCTTGAACCCATAGAAATTTGGAATGACCGTTCGTTAAATCACCTTCCATGACGGAATGACGTACTCCATAATCATCATCACATCAGCACATCATCTCGACAAAGCTTGGCTCCTCGGCAGCGCTGTAAGGCTGCAGGCCATGAGCATCGAATGCTGCAGTCTTCTTTGTCATCTCTTGCGTTTTTGCTGATGACGGTTCAAATGTCGGCTTAAACAAACTGGTCACGGTCACCTGCGATGAGTGGCCTTTTGGCTCACTTATTTTTCAGAAAACTGTTAAGTTGACGCAATTCTGAGTACTTTTTGTACCTGCCTGGGCGTCTCTTAAAGTGGCTGACAAACGTCTTTTGGTAGCAGTAGGTGTCGTCAAAATAACTCCGCAAGTCTCGTACTGAGCTTTGTCTTTAGCAGACACTTTCAGGAAAAAGTTTCATGTCAGATTCGTGCACGTGCGTTTACCGGGCATGGGCGCGGTCGACGCCATCTTCAACTGTGGAGATAGTGGTTCTCGAGGCAATATAAGACAACAGTTGTAAGCGCGGCTGAAGCTCAAGGAACACAAAGACGTATTTCTGGATCCTTGTTGCACAATGGCCCCTCGTTGCCTTAGAGATTTATGGATATGTGGCAGCCATGATGTGTAAAACATAGTCTCAAAAATTTGTATTGTACTGGCCGTCCGTAGCTTTTGCGGACTATTCGTATTGCCGATTATTTCGAAAATATTGAATACTTGAATTTGAATCAAAGCGAATAACGAGTAGGGTAGAATTCAATAGAATATTTGGAATACCAAATATTCGCCCATCCCTACTTTTTAGTGCCAAGAAAAGTAATAGGTGTGGCTCTAGCAAAGGCTTCGGGGGCCACGTCCTTGATCTGAAGGGCAGGCAAGGGGTCATTTTGCACGATGTGAGCTATGGCAAAAAAAAATTGAGGAAAGGGGGTATGGGCTGGGTGTGTCACTCCCTGGCAACACCACTGGGCTCTAGTTTGCAAATTATGCCAGTCACTGAATACAGAGAAAGCATAAAAACCATGGCTAAAAAAATAAAAAAATCAGGGAACTAATATTTCCCATATTTATTACCAATGAATTATCAAGCGAGAAATTCAAGGTTTTTCTGAACTAACCCAAATTTCCTGTTTCCAGATAATTATGCAAATGCCTTTGTCTTATTTATCAAAATTCATTATTCAAGTACTTTAGCATGCTTTGATTTCATAACTGTACTTTAAGATTATCTCGTATGGGAGGCACTTTGTTTTGAAGGCACTTTGTTTTGAACACAAAAAAGCAAGATGTGTCCCCTTTGCATCTGCTGGCAGATGTACATAACACAACTAATGGACTTTATGAAAACAAAATAGTAAAACTCACTAGTGTTAACCAAGCATTTACATACTGAAGTATTGGTCTCTCATCTCAACTTTGTGACACATTTAACTGAAAGTATTTGTTTGTGGTAGCTTGTAAACTTGAACAGTTTGTATATGCATATTTCCTTACAAAAGATTACCCAATTTCATGCATAAAGCTGTCTTGTTAAAAAGTTTGGGATATTATGTCGAAATCCTCTTATGACATTTCATAGAACACTACTGAAAGCCTGAAATGCTACTGCTATTCTCCTGCTAATTTTGCAGATAGGTTCCGGGCGATGAAAGCAGCACCCGGCACCTACTACATCACAGTCATCGAGGATGCTGACCGAGGAACGGTAGTTGCCTCGGCTACCCTCTTCGCAGAGCTCAAGTTCATCCGTGGACTGGCCACAGTGAGTGCATAGCATGTACACTTAAACCTCTATATAACAGAACGAGATATAACAAATTACTGGTTAGAACGAAGTAAGCAAATATCTTTGTCATAGGTACAGTGTGAAGAATATATGTTTATAAGCACTTTTATAATAAAATATTTTCGTGGCAGATGTGAATGTGTTATAATGAGGTTTGAGTGCATCAACATCACTAGCAGTGCTATCTATGGCAGTGCTTATGTGCGAATTGCTGCAAGGTCCTAAAGTTCTGCCTGCACCTTTGAGGTCTCTCTTTTGGGTAGGAGTTGCAACGATAGGTCTATGATAAGATAAGCAGTTATGTAGAGAGCAGTAAGGTGGGCTAGCTGGTGTTCATTCATCTTCAAAAGAGCACTTAGTTACTAGTACAGACGCAGAACGGAAACTTGGACCATCTCCCCGAAGGGAACCCTGATGGGATGCGAAACAGCAGCGTTGCACACTGGTGGCATCACAGGTTGAACAGTGCTAACGAGGGTGGTGTTATGAGCGCTGGAATATTCATTTGAAGGGATGCCAAGCGTAGGTTTTATCGTTTCTTCAGAGTGGACACAGCCGCAGAACCAGAGCTGGCGCGCATTTCGCCTTGACTACCGCAACCTTGTGATCTGTGAAGTGCACGCTGAGAGGTTCCTGCAGACATTTGACGTAAAAGTTGGCAAAGACAAGATCGATGCATGTTCCTCTTATCGTGGCCCCGCCCCAGTGGTCTAGTGGCCAAGGTACTCAGCTGCTGACCCGCAGGTCACGGGGTCGAATCCTGAATGCAGCGGCTGCATTTTTCGATGGAGGCAAAAATGCTGCAGGCCCATGTGCTCAGATTTGGGTGCATTTTTAAGAATCCCAAGTGGTCAGAATTTCTGGAGCATTCCACTACGGCATCTCTCATAATTAAATGGCAGATTTTAGATGTTGATTGATTGATTTGTGGAGTTTCAACATCCCAAAACCACCATATGATTATGAGAGACGCCTTAGTGGAGGGCTCCGGAAATTTTGACTGCCTGGGGATATTTAACGTGCACCAAAATCTGAGCACACAGGCCTACAACATTTCCGCCTCCATCGAAATGTAGTCACCGCGGTTTTGGGTTATTAAACCCCACATATCTATCAACCCTCTTATCGTGGTGGGTAGTTTCTGTTACGCCGACACGTACGTCCAGTGAGTACACATTACGCATGTAACTGACGAGCCATTCTCTTCCTCGTTCGCTGACGTCAGCGTTGAAGTCTCCCACGACTATGAGAGGCGCGTGTCAACACGCCCCGCCGCAATCAGTGGGTGTCTCTTTCAGACAGCGCTGAACCTGTTTATTCGGCAGGTTGGGAGCTAGGTACAGCGGCAGAATCGCGACATCGCCAACGTGCAAGGCAGCGCACTTCAGTAGCGTTTTCGAAGGCTTCCGCATCAATTTTCAGGTCGCCTCCGGACTGGTCGGCGGAGCCCGACACTTGTGGGCTGGCGCTTCAACGGAGGGCGCGTGGCACTTTCGAGACGTTGCCAACAATGACGACGTCAAGGATTCGCAGCGTTGGCTTTCGGCCTTCCGCTGTCAGCACTTCTGCTTGGCTTTCTTGGCTCGCATCTCGTCAGTGTTGCGGACGCGTTGAAGACGCTTGCGCTCGTCTTTTTTGGCTCGCGCCTCGTCGGTGTTACCCGCCCGCCGTCTCTATTCTCAAACTCGGTCCCCGTGTTTGACTCGCATCTCGTTGACATCATTTTGGTCTTCTACTGCTGACGCTTGCCTTCAGCTTTCTGGCTCGCGCCTTGTCGGTGTTGCAGGTGCCACGTCGTCATTCACAAATGTGATCTGCTAACGCTCGCAACGCCGGCGACGGCCGGGTTGGGCCAAATCGCTTCAGCCCACATTTCGGTGGGTGAAGAAGCTGCGCTTTCTTCTCCATCGCAGATAAACGAGCCGAAAGAGTGTTCACTCGATGTGTGCTAGAACATTGTGAGTGGTGGAGAAGGTGAAGCGAGAGAGAGCTGAAATGTGGCAAGCGAGAGAGAGAGTGACGTTACCCTGCACTGCAAGGAAATGCGTGACCTACTTGGCACCACCCCAACGCCTGCGGCGAGGGATGCGATGTGTTGGCACAGACACACGGACAGACAGCATTACGCAGGCTAGTGAAAGAGCAGCTTCGCATCTAATAAAATACATGACACAAGATGACAACCGCAACTACCAACTCGTTTATTGTCTGTGGCAAAAAACGTGGCTCCGAGAAAGTGGTTTTGCCAAATGAGCGTGCACATATGCTTGTAAAAAATACTGATGGAGAAGGGTGTCAATTACACTGAGGCAAAAAGAAAAATTAGAGAGTGGCCACCATCTCAGAAGCAAGATCAGGAGAACATTAGCGACTTATAGTTGCAAAATCAACATCGGCAGCTGTTTTCTGATCATCTGGGCATGCTTATTTGACACAGTACTCTATTAGGGCAAATTTTTTTTTCACACAATAAACCAGTTGAGTTGATAGTTAGCTCTGGTCGTTTTGTGTCCTCTTGTGACATTGTGTGTCCGTGTTAACTAGGCAGGCTTTTCTCTTAATTTTATTATGAAAAAGATGGACGCAACATGGAAAGCGGATGGTTGTTCATTGTTGGTATGGTTGTTCATTGTTGGGCCCATCTTCTCCTTGTCAGGAGTATGTACCTGTTTTTGTAAACGCACAATCTGTTTCTCCTTCTATTCACAAGACATTTTTCGCAGTGTTAAAGATGTTACAGGCATTAACAGCAAAACAGATGCATTTTACAAATTTACAAGGCATTTTTTTTCTACAATGTGGAATTTTTTATTGGCACGACATCAAAACGGAGGTCCTGCCACAGAGATCAGGATACCACAAGTAGGTCGGTCTCTAATAAAACGCGCAAGCGAGTTCATCTTCATCGTTCCTTCTATTGTCCTTCATAGCACATGCATAACTGTATCATATTTCTTGATGCAAGCACATGACAATACAAGCACTATGACGGTTGGGCTGTGTCGTCATTGCAAATGAACTCTACGCTGAGGTGGAAGAATCTACGCTGAGGTGGAAGAACTTTGCTGCACCTGAAGTTGCATTAATATGAGCAATTAACAAAAAGTAATAACCTTGGTAAATATTAATTATAGGGTGACATCAGTACTACAAAATGAACGCAAAACATAACAAGTTCACTTGAGTATCAGTGATGATTTGCCGCTTTTCCTGACCGTTCAGCTGTGATGTGCCTTTTCATGAAATTGTCACGTGAGCTTCTGGCCTAATCTGACTGGGATGGCAAAATTCCTGCGTGCCCAGTGTGTTCGACCTCGCTCTCACCCATATCGGGGTCTCAAATTTCAGCCATCATTATCTCAAACTACGTGCGTTCTCTGAAATTTTACAAAATTTTTTGTGCATGTCATAATGCCTCATGTTTGACAACTTTTCTGGATAAACTATGGTCCGAAAGTTAATAAATAAAAATTTAATTAACAGACATTTGTTACTTACTCATTCGAATGTAATTTCATGTGCGGCAAAGTTTTCTGCCTTAGTGTAGAGTTTGTTTGCGAAGACGACAGAGGCTTGACTGTCGTTGCATCTTTATAGAAAGATCTTTGTCTCGAAGAAGACATAATGTACTACAGTCGAACCTCAAAATATCGAACGGCACGGTGATAGCGAAATAGTTCGATATGTCCAGAATTCGATATAAAAAAATCACGAAAAAAATGCGTCAACAGCTTGCTGAAAACAACCAATGAACCGTTCAAGCGTGGTGCAGTAAATACTCACTTGAAGATTCAAACATAGTATTTATTGTGTTGGTTTAAATTATTAAAAAAGAGTAGCCTGCTTTTTGTTGGCCATGGCGTGTTTGACGACTGCGTCCTCAATATAGTCTAGGCGATCCATAAGTGATAGGCCAGTGCCTTCGGTGCACAAGGGCCAAGGCAGCTACTGACCTCAGCTGATGTCGGGAGCGGGGCACCATCGATCAGCGCTTGCGGGATGCACCTCGGCAGAGTCTTCATTTGGCTGCTCAGCAGTAGCTTCGGCGACAATCTCCACATCCGTGAGCTCCGCCGTTCGGTGTTAGGCCTGTTGCGCGCACGAACACTGCGAGCACAATGACCGATGCCTGCCGATGCTACGGGGGAGGAGCTTGCAACAAGTGCGCAGTGTGCCGTTGACACCATAGAGACTGCAACGACTGCAACAGGGGCGGCGCCAGGATGTGTTTACTGGGGGGCAACCACGAAAAGTGAGTTCCTCCGGGGGGGCAAGCTAGCTCTGCTCCTACTAGGTTTTCAATATATGCTTCCGGGCACTTGGGTGGGCATAGGGGGGGCAGGCGAGAATTTTGGTAGGGCTCCAGCCCACCCTTGCCCCCCCCCTGGCGCCGCCCCTGGACTGCAAGCTGCAAGGCTGCGGCGTAAGTCCGAGTGTAAAGCGTGCACATGGCGCGCCCATGCCGGCTTGCCTGACTGCTTTCCCTTTCCCGGCGGCAGCGCGTGCCGCATCCAAGACAGTCGTCTGCGTCCTTTCCCTCCTATACTTTCCTCCTCAATCTTTACCTCCCACTCCCCCTTCCCCAGCGTGAAGCCGTGTCGGTGCCTTCGTATTGAAAGACAATAACAGCTCCGCGCTGTTCTCTTCACTTTCCTCATTCAAGGACCTCTACCGCAAAGCTGCGGCGCGCGTATGCCGCTACGTTAAAGTGGCGCTCTCGGCGCCATTGATGTGTGCAGCATTCGTAAACGCACGCCGCTCTACCGCTACTTTCGAGAGTTGCGGGAAAGCTCACCGCCTGTCAATGAAGCGTGGGCAGTTTGGGGTGACTGAGTTCGATATATCCATTATATGTCAAACTTTGTTCGAAATAAAAAATCAGTAATGCATGCGATTTCCCACGTGATATAGGAACAGTTCGATATAGGCAGTAATTCTATATATCCGTGTTCGATATATTGAAATTTGACTGTATATGCACGTATCACACATCTATTTCACTTCTCTCTAACAATCAAAAGTTTCCCGTCTGTTGCAGAGAGGTCACATAGAAGATGTGGTTGTCTCAAGCGAGTACCGTGGCCGCAACCTAGGCAAGCTGTGAGTACATCTACTGTATCAAGCATCTGCTTATTTCAGCGACCAATCTTGTGGCAATTCGCCATGATGAGGCACTACTTTGTTTCAGGGGGGCATTTCGAGGTGCCAGACATTGATCGTAGCTAATGATGCGAGCATTACTCATTCCTTCGTTACGTTAGAGCATTTACAATTCGGTGTCGCGATTACCAGATGTGCTCATTAAAGCACAAAATTCAGATGAAAATATATGGCTCTTGGAGGTCTTTTAAGTGCTGCCGCACAGAAAGAAAAGAATGTGAAAGAGGAGAACTTCACACATTTTTTTTGCTGTTTTTGATTTATGCCCAGAGGCCACCAAAATGAACCGTAAGTGTACTTTTAAGGGGGTTATGAACCATTTCTCGAGCTAGGTGAGATCACGCATCCTGCAGATAGCTGAGAGTGCCTTTAACATCTTGGTCAAATATCAGTTGCTCAAAGTGAGCTTACAAAAGGAGCACAGAGTTGCGATTTTCTTAGACGCCATCGTTTCATGCGGAGGCCTCTGTCGCCTCTCTTCAGAGCTGCCAGCGCTTGCTGTTTAGTATCAGACAGCAGTTCACATGGCATTGAAGAATAGTGGACATAAATCGAGAGCCGAATTCGGATAACACGTGCTTCTTGCCACAGTGCGCGACTACGTGCCAGCATTGCGCTCGTTAGTCTGCAACATTATAGTGAGTGGCACTCATGCAAGAGATTTGCAATGATGTAACAGTAGTTGTTGGGGTTTAACGTCCCAAAACCAGAATACGATTATGAAGGAGGCAGTAGTCGAGTGCTCCACAAATTTCGACCATCTGGTGTTTTTTAACATTTACTTAAATTTAAGTACACAGGCCTCAAGTGTTCTCACCTCCACCATAAATGTGCTTGCCGAGTTTGGGATTTGATTCTGCGACCTTTGTGTCAGCAGTCGAATGCCGTGACTACTAGCCCTCCATGGTTGGTGAGGAATCAGAGAGCGACCCCATTTTTTGGCACATGCTCACAATATCATGATTTTTTTTTTCTTTGCCCCAAGCCATTCTTCCCTGTGTAGCATCCAGCGTGCTCGTTGAACTGCAGGTCGCGAGATTGAATCTTATCCATGGGGCTGCATTTTCAATGAAGTCAAAAATTGCTTGAACATTGTGTACTTAGACTCAGCTGCATGTTAAAGAACCCCAGCTGGTTGACATTTTTGGAGCCCTCTACTATGGCGTCTCTCATAATCATGCGGTTGTTTTAGGGCGTTAAGTCCCACCAACTATTGCTGAGAAAGCACGTGACAAACCTGTGTAACTTTATCCATTCTTCATGGATTTCAGAAATTTTTGGAGCAATCTTCTCGCCAGGCAGTAAACCAAAGTGATTAAATGATTAGTGATTCACCAGCCATCTAGGAATTTCTCTACATGTCACGTAGCATGTTGAGGGGCTGGAATTCTGAATCGTGTTTTTTTTTTTACCACAGATATGAACAGGCACAATGCAAGTTAGTAGCATGCTACGAAATTTGATACTTTGATAGATAAGAGCTCCTAATCTCCTAATGTTTATTAAGTAGCTTTAATAAATGAGTCGAATTATTCTATTCATTATTGCTCAAGCAGTCAGTAAACAGGATATATTTTTTAGTGTCGCATATTCATGAAAGCACTTGCTTTGTTCTTCCTTTTTTTTTTTCCCTCTACAGCCTGATACAAACGCTTGTACGACTTGGTAAGCGACTTGACTGTTACCGGCTCACACTCGACTGCAAGGACACTGTCATCAAATTCTACGCCAACAATGGATTCGCCCTCGAGGCTGGAAGTTCCAACAGTATGAGCCTGCGTTTTGCTGCAGCGCAGTCTCAATAGCCCAGTGACATTACCTCCCAGTGATTGCAGACTTATTCTCAGTTGGATATCAATGAGAGATGAAAAAAAGAAGATAAGCAATGAAAATATTGTCCTGCTGTTAAGCGCACAAATGGCCCAACTATTACACTTTTCATCGCTTGAATGCCGGATGCACAAATGTAGTTTTAACGCATTCCTTTGTCAAGCTTGTGATTTGTGCTCGTTTTTCTGCTGTACACTTTACGACGCAGAGTTGAGAGATGGCACTCACTGAAGACACTGCGTGCTTGTTCTGATACTGTTTTCTTTGTTCCTGATTAAGATAATTTATATACCGTATTTGATATTACATTTAGTGCAGTCAATAAATGATGAGAAGTATTCTTTGCGAATGACTTTCTTGGTCTATTTTACGTGAGGCCATGTGCTTGGACAGTGCTGCAAGTTTCTGGTTCAACTCACTGGAACAGTGAAGAGGTCAGTGCGAACAAAGAGGCTGAGGTCATCCTCGTCTCAACAGCTGCTGTAGCACTCACGCCTTGTCAGCTGCAAAATGTGTTGTCGGTCTCAATATACACTGAAACCTCGATATAATGAACATCCATATAACAAAATATCGATTAGAGGAAAGAAAGTGGAAGATAGTCTTGCAATATAGTGTTAAGAATATAGTTTTATAATGACTGATTGGATATAACGAACTTGTTTATGTGCAAGATACAACCTTGTTAAATGAGGTCTGAGTGTACAAACACCCAAGTGAAAAAATGTTTGTACCTTGGCCTGCTTGGAAGTTCTTCACAGACTCACAATTTTGAAAGATATTAACTGTTTAATTAAGAAATAAGGGAGAAACAATGAACAACGTGCGTGACATCCTTTTATGTCTTTTTTTTTCATCTGGGTCAACTTTTCCTCTGTGTATGTTGCCAGCTTGACATTTCGAATCCGCTAACACTTGGCCATTCCCGACGCCAAACTGTCCTCAGTTAATGTGGTGTAGTCCCGAAAATACGCAGGTATTTTGGATACAACATGTGCTACGTCTAGGCACGCTTTCTTCCTTATCAGAGCTTGACTGGTCGAACTGTTCCAGGCATTATCCACCACATCTCTTCAGTTGGCTGATGCAGGCGGTTGCCTAGTAGACCCTTTTTCTTGCACTCATCTCAGTCACTCTTTAGGGGTCTGCTGGTGCTGGGAAAACTTCTACCCCTGTGAGTGGACATCTAACATTTTCTGTGTTTTGGTTGGGGTACCACTGTGCTGCGGAACGCAGCGAATGACCACTATGTCTCCAACGCTCAACTTGTCCACCAAGAAATTATGCTTGTCGAAATGCTGCTTTGACCTTTCATGCTGGCTCGCTATGTCCCCTCGAGCTATCTCTCGAAGTTGCTCAGGGCATACCCCCTCATTATTTTCCTTGTTCAGCCATCCGAGCACACCATCTTGCATCCGTGGTTGATACTCATGCAAGAGCTTGAAAGGGCTAGTCCCTGTTGAGGCATTGTAAGCGGTGTTAAGGTAGCCTTCTCTCTCCTTGATCTTCTGATCCCAGTCCTTGGGAGTGGGGTACTTGATCGTCGCCATAATACACGTTACCAGAGTTCTGCTCACACGCTCCACCTGGCAATTTGCCTCTGGATGGTGTTCAGAGTGTGGGCCAAGCCATTTTCCTGACAGTAGGCTTCGAAGTCGTAGGGCGTGAAGCAAGAGCCACAGTCAGAAATGATGCGCTCCGCAAGTCTGAACTCTGTTATGAAGTACTGCATACTCCGCAGCACATTTCTCGCCAAGGTGTCTTGAACGGGGAATAGGTGCACAAACTTAGTCAGTATCCACCAGCACCAATATCAACAGGTTTTTCTTAGAACTTCTCAGAAACAGACCAACGTGGTCCACATGAACAACTTGAAATGGTCTCTTTCCAGGTGGTATCGAGTGCAGGAGCCCAGGCTGCTTTCCTCCTGGTACCTTCGTTATGAGACACTCAAAACACATACGAATGTTCTGTTCCACGTAGCTCTTCATCTGAGAAAACCAATAACGTTACTTGATTTTGTCATCAATCGGTCTGTTGCAAAATGTCCCTGTAAGTCATGAAACTTGACGCACAATGTTTTGCGCATGCTTTTAGGCATTGCGAAGAGAAGTTGTCCGTCGTGTTCTTCGTAAAACAGTTTTCGGTCTCTCAGCCGTAAGTTCTCGACCTTTGGCACTCTCTTCTTGGGTCCTTTCTTTGACTGACTTCTCCAATACTTGAGCGAGCTTCGCAAAATCTGTATCAGAGCACTGAATGATCACAACTTGCTGCTCTAATGTCATGGTAAGGCACACTTCGATCCTTGTATCGACGACTTCATTGAGAGTGTCCTTCGGCGCTCTTATAGCTTCACAATTCAAATAGTAGTCTACACGTGCCATTTTCTTACCTGATCGGTGCTTCACCTCAAAGTCGTACTCTAGAAGTAAGTCTAACCACCTTGCTATCTGTGGGTCGATCTTGTGCACATTTTTATACGCAATCGCTTGACAATCTGTTACCAATGCGAACGGAACGCCTAGGAGAAATGGGCAAAGTCTTTCCATACTCCAGACTATCGCCATCAGCTCCAACTTTCCCGCATGGTAATTTTTTTCAGTATCAGTGGTACGCTTACTAACACAGATCACCAAGTCCTAGCGTCCCAACTCATATTTTTGAAGGATCATCCCCGCAAGTTCATGTCTGCTCGCATCCATATGGAGCTTCGTTGAAGTCAAAGGGTTGCACAACTTCAAAATGGGTGGCGCTGTCACTTTATTTAGGAGCTGGTCGAAAGCTTCTTGCTGCTCCCCTCCCCATGTGAACTTCCTTTCCTTCATGGTCAGACAAGTAAGCGGTTCTGCCTTCAAGACATATAATGGATAATGAACTGTCTGCAAAATCCCGTTAGACCCTAAAATCTCCTTACACTGTGAACATCAGTTGGCATGCTAGCGTCCAGCATAGCTTGTCGCTTCGCTTCGTCTAGCTGCAGATAGCCTTTCACAATCTTAAAGCCCAAGCAGTCGATTTCGTCACTTTCAAACACACACTTGGATATTTTCAGGTTTATACCAGCAGCTCGCATGACATCAAACACTTGTTTGAGCTGAACTAAGAACGCTTCTCAATTCTCGGCTGGAATCAGTAGGTCGTCTATGTAACACAGTACTACAGTGTTGTGCGGAGATCCGAGAACCTTGTTCATTAGAAGTTGAAATACAGCAGGACCATTTATCAACCCGATCACCGTACGTTCAAACTGGCTGGTCTCATCAGGCATGATGAATGCAGTTCTGGCCTTTGATTCCTCACTTAGTGGAAGTTGAAGGTATCCGTTTGCACAGTCTAACACACAGTACATTTGTGCTCCAAAGAGTCGTTACTGCTGGTCATCAATGTTTTTAGCCGTCGATAATCTATGACGAGACAATTTTCTCCGTTGTTCTTTTTCACAAGTAGCACTGGACTAGTGTATGGCGATGTTTCAGTTACGATGCCAGTCGCCTTCTATTCCTTGACAATTACTTGCATTGCCTTTCTTTCCCCTGCATTAGTCATGTACAATTTGCAGGTAACTGGGCTGCTCCCGGGACGCTCTGTGCTTGTCATCTCTAGTTGATTGCAACACCTCAACTCTGATAAATTCAGTGCAAAGCAGTTCCTATATTCATTCAGGAACTCTAGCAGTGCATCAACTTGCTATTCATTGACATCCTTCCCTCGGTTTAGCATGCTGCAATCAATGGACTTCTGCTGAGGTGCATGTCTCACGGGGGTTAGCTCTTCACTCCCTGATAGCAGCTGAGCATGAGTGAACTAACTACCCTTGACCAGCAGTTAGTCTTCATACGTACTTGTTCTTCAACATGGGTATCTCAACCATTCCATCTTTGACGAGGGAGTAGTATTTCCTTCCGAGTTCTCGTAGGCAATGTAACATTTCCTTCACTCTTATTGCTCTCCACTGTCACCCAACACACAGTCCTTTCAGGTATCACAATGGTTTCCTTGACATGAAGTGGCTCCTTCGAAGGCTTCATCTGGGCAAAGGCAATATTGGAAAATGGAAGATAATTTCTGTAGCCAATCCTGGGTTCATTCCTCATGCGTAAGTATGCATTGCATTGTGGTCTTGTTTTGTCCAAGTCCTACCAACTAGGATGCCCACAAACAAGGCACTGTTGTGAACGACAACTACCTTGTCCTTGAGGTATAACACACCATCGATTTCTATGCCAATCTCAGAGGTTCCAATAGACTTGTTCAATCATTGTTTCTCAACCCATACAACGCTTGTACCTTGCACACAACTTGCAGGTTGCTCCTTTCAGTCACTTGCTGACGCAATATACAATCTGAACTTCTTGGGTCAATCATCTCGGGGAGCTGGTAAGTACCACTGATCATCGCAGTCTTCAGGCACTTCAACGGACCACTGTCACTTCTTGAGTACTCATTCGCCATGAAGATTCTAGCAAGGTGTGTCCTTGAATAGTCTTTCACTATGTGCCCGTACCTTCCACAGCTGTAGCATTTTCGCACTGACTGGCCACGCTTGGGATGCTCTGGCATTTTCTTCGGTGGTCCCCCACCACTTGCTTGGTCAGTAACGCGTGCATTTGTGAGTGCTTGCTCGGTTGGACGCATGGCACTCCAAGAAGTCTTTGCATAAGGTATCACAGTACCTGGGTCACCACCGTGTGGCTTGGCCCCTGGATAGTGCCTGCATTCTGGCTTTGGTTAGTCGCTCCAGTCTTTGCAAGTCTGCCAACAATTCGTCCTTGTCCTTGTGATCATTTACCAACATTGAGATGCATGCCTCCTTAAACCGCAGCCCCACCAAAACTTGCTCCTTGGTATGCTGCATAACGAGGCCTAATGCGTTGCATAATAGTGCCTTTTCAAGAAAGCATGCTGTGATGGATTCTCCCTTCATCTGGAATCTTTCCTGCATTTGCTTCCCCTGTTCGGCCTTGCTTGTCTTGCCCATGAAAGTATTCTTGAAGGCTATCTTGAAGTCCTCCCTCGTAGTAAGGTCATCGACAGGGCCTGAAGCCAAAATTCGAGCAGGTTCCTTCATGTGAAGCCTGATGTTTTCGAGTCTGAAGCTGTCCAGCCAGCCTGTGCAGGGACCGCCATGAAATCAGTACTCTTCAACCACGCCCGGGCTTTGTGGCATGAGCTTTTGCCATCGAAATAGTGGATAGCCTTATTCAGGCTCAGCATAACGTGGAACGTTTCAGGCTTCCTTTCGATAAGTTCCAATAACCTGCCGGTTTCGCTCCAGCATAGCTTGCATCGATTTCGTTAGTTCCGCCGCTGTCTGCCATCTTCGGGGTTGTTTGTCTCTACACGTCTCTGGCGT